AAAATGGCAGGTCATTTTAGGAACAACATATGGGACCATCCCATGCAATCTTACTTAGCTGCCCCTTCCCTCACTTCCCAGTTTTTACCTTCCTTTAGCCAAGACTCCAAATGAAAAGGCATCATGGACTACTTATACTTCAGGGATCGGTAAGTGGCCTGTGACACCATCATCTCCACTATAGCGGTACAGTCCATAAAGGCTATAGATTTCAGCATGCAACGATCCATCTTGATCACGGCAGAGGCAGCTCAAATCAAGATGAAGCACTGCATGCTGGGAGATGTGACATGTGGAGACTTGCTCCATACTGAAGATGCACGGAAGCTGCAATTGGCTACATTTCATGCACATTGGATACAGCCCTTAGGCTACCAGCAAATTGGCTCATGTATTTGCAGCATTTTCAAGCATTCTGCAAATCTGGTTCTTACACCTGTTTAAGCTACTATGCTCCTCTCTGAATCAGGTCCTCAGCTGGTGTCAATCTGTGTAGCTGCACTGACTTCAACGAGCTACGGCAGCATATGCCAGTGGAAGTTGTGACGCGATATTTTCAGATCTTGCTTCACGTTCGCCTTTCCCACGTTATTTCCCCATGCTCAGAACAGTAAGTGGCTCAGTGCTATGGAACTTGCAGAACGCTGCAGCCACAGTGGAAGTTTTCTACTGAGCAACACACAGAAAATTCCTACCGCAGACCAGCATAACCAATCCAGCGGCAGAGCAAGGCGAAAGTTCTGCAACTGTGATGCCCCAAAGTACCTTTTTCAGCGCCATCACCTGAACGGCACACAACTCGCTGAGGCACTCTGCTATCTTTTCCAAGGGTAGCCGGGCAAGAACCAATGCTGTCCCTGGAACGCAAGAGGAAAAGAATTCAGGGAGGTGGGGTGGAAGTTTAGTCAGTTTCAGACACTAAATGAACAAGTTTCCCCACACGGACCCGGCTGCTGCAGGTCAACTGAAAATCTCCCTATACACAGCAGGAAAAAAAAGGCTAATATCCACATGTCCTGACTGGACATGAAATTATTACCCCTCAGATAAAACACATTCCTCTGAATATACCACAACTTGGTGCTGCTGCTTCATTTTGATCAGACACTGAGATAGATGTGTGTGATGGAAGACGAAAGATGCTGGTGTGCTGGAGAAGAGAAGAACCTAGAGGAATGAAAAAACTAGCAACCCCGCTCAAATCACACCTGTAACCTGAAAAGAAAAGCACGATGCACCACTGAGCTTGGAATAGGCACAAAACACATTTCTGTCAACATTCATACCAGTGTAGCAGATACACCCCTTTCAGAAATTGTATGTCATTATGTAGTAAAATCTCTTTATATTTCAGCCTACTAGCAATAAACCTGGAAAATTACACACTTCTGGAAAAAAAAGTAAAAGCGTGTACTACAGCATTTTAGGCGTCTTACAGTCGGTACACAATCAAAGAACACTTGCATTGCCCCATCACTGCCCATTGCTGTAAGGGCCAGGGGTAACAACAGTATCTTACCCTAAAATGTACTCAGAGCACAAACATAAAACGATATGCAAAATGTGTTAATGCAACACGAAGGATGCAGTCAGGCACTAGTCAGGAAATGCACAAGTGAAGGATGCAACGGCAGCAGTCGTTTTAGCCAAGTGTGACACGTTGCAAGTTTGCCGGCATGTGTTTTACAACGTAAAGCAATACAAGTGCAAGCGGCAATAGGAAACTGATTATTAAACCAGAAAAACATGGACAGCATTACCTCTCTTGGACACGACCAGGTGCGGTGAGAATCTTCACTTTGCCTTTTCCTAACCATGCCATTAAATGTTCTGGTATCAAAATTCATAAGTATTCAAAGTCCCTCGATGCAATGTGGTGGGTTTTTTTGTTTTGTTTTTTTGTTTTTAAAAGAAAACAAAACCCCTCCAGGCAGTGCAAGTGCTAAGATTGCCTGAAACTCTTCAAAAAAAAATGTAGATGCAAGGTCCTACAAATCTTTAACCCAAGTCACGTTACAGATGCACAAGCAATTAAACAGCTAACAACACGCATTGATAAGCAAGTACAGTAAAAGCTGTGTTAGCCAACACTTTACCAACTGGAAAGCTCTATAAACTGGCATTTCTGATCTTACTGAAAGTCTGGTTTATAGCCTGGTTGGTGTGGAGCCGGCAGGCTTGCTTGCTCGGTGGCCCTGCCCCGAACGCCGGCTCTGCAGCTCCCATTGGCCAGGAACCACGGGGTGGTGCCTGTGGGCGGAGGCAGCGCACAGAGCTGCCTAGCCATGCCTCCACCCACAGGCGCCACCCCCGGAGCTCCCATTGGTCATGGTTCCTGGCCAATGGTAGCTCTGGAGTCAGCGCTCAGTGTGCACAAAGCCTCTGCCTAGGAGCAGCAGGGACATGTCGCCGCTTCCGGGGAGCCACCCGAGGTGAGTGCCACTCAGATCAGGCACCCCGCATCCCCTCCCATGCCCCAACCCTCTGCCTTCCTGCACCCAAACTCGCTCCCAGAGCTCATGCCCCACAGCCCTCCCGCCGATGCCCCAACCCTGAGCCCCCTCCCAACACCCAAACCCACTCCCTCTTAGTTAACTGGAATTGTTTACTTACTGACACCCCTTGTTCCCCCAACATGCCGGATAACAAAGCTTTTACTGTATTTCTGAAAGACAGCTTGCTGCTTGAAGACCTTAATGCAAGTTGGTGGCTACTGACATGCACTGAAGAATGAACATTAAGAACGGCACTAGTGCAAATCAGTCTGTCTCCAGAAGTGCAAACACTTTGTTTTCCACTCTGCATGAGCAGAAGCCAGTTTCCATGAACTCAGAACCATCATCAAACTAGCTTCAAATGTGGTCCCATCGGTACTTAAGAATATTGTCATGCTACATTTCAACGTTCAACCAGCCTTCAGAGTCGCTGAATAAAGTGTGGAAATAGGTTTTAAAGCAGAAAACATGTATTTTTCTACTTCTTCAGAGCTGAGCATAACTGAACAAATTCTGATCCAACTTTCTTTAAAATAAAGTGTGTGTGTGTGTATATATATCTATATCTATATATATATAAAAAATCACCTTTGGGCCAAGAATAGGCATGGAAAATGTCAGGCCCAAAAGTGATTTGGTCAGAGTTCACTGTTATTTGAGAATGTCAACTGTAGCGTGACACTGGGGGCTGTGATACACCCCCTAGGTGACCCTCACAATATCATCGAGTGCGTTTGGTGAGTAAATACCTTTAAGGAGTCCCACAGCAGCCTCTGGAGACAGCATGAAGGAGTCAAGGGAGCGGGCGATCTCTAGCAGGCCATTAAAGTGCTGAGCCATGTGGTCCCGGCATACTGAGCAGATATTGTGAATAGCTTTGGCGGCAGCCGAGGCCAGTGACTTCTCACAGAGACCTTTCATCAAATAACCCAGCACAGGATCTGAGAAGAGAAGAAACCCACAAGGCGGCACTGGATTATACAGATGACTGATAGCTCCATTTGTTGCCTCTCACTGTGTGGCACGCTGGTTTATTTGTCCTGCATTGACCTCGGAGAGGTAACACTTCCCAGAGGGAAGCCAGCTGGAGTGCAGAAACTGAGCCAGTGTCAACAGCTAGACTCACCCAGGAACTGAGGGTTTCTGTCCACGACTTCACTCATTTCTCCCACCAGCTCTATGCTGGTGTAGCGGACAGCAGTGTGCACGGATTCGGGGAGGCGCACCACCCCCTCCAGCACCTCCACCAGCGTCGGGTTGTTCTCCCTGGGGACAGAGGACGGCAGTTACTCAGCGTCTGGCGCAGTCAGTCCTATTCCCAAGCAAGAAACCGCTCGTTCCATCGATTCTGCTATCTGAAGGCTGAATGTACCAGATAGATCGAGGAACCCCGTGGCGCTCCCGAGGAGCCTGGATAGAGATTCTGACACACCGCCCTGCAGGGGGCACAGTATCTTTAACAATACTCCGCACTAAAACCGGATTCAGTCCAAGCTTTACAATGGGGATCCATAGGCCGGGGAGAGGACCACCAAGCTCCACAATACTAGCGGCAAGAAAGAGCAGCAAACTGAAGAAGAGTGAACCGGAAGAGCCATCTGGGAAGAGCCAGGGTTATGGGGCAAGACAGGGAGGAAAACACTCAGCAAGGAGTTCAACGGGCATTCCTAATTAACCCCTAGTAGCCCTCGCACTCAGATCGTTGTGGGGCTCCTACTTGGAGGGCACACAGGGCCCTTCCATCGCCCCCACTCCCTGGGACACAAAGAGCATCTCTAAGATACAAGGAAACCAACTCAGCAGCCCTAGACATCATCTGTTTTATCCTGCCCTGTTCCATCAGCTATGCCGTGAACTAGGGGAAGTGTGCCTCCTGGTGGTACCAGAAGGGAATTCAGCCCTATTGGTGGAGGCGTCTCACTCCAGCAGCGTGCCTGTGTTTCGAGCTGTTAACCAAGTAATCAGGGGCCAACAGGAGCCACGGTTGGACATGCCATGTTCAGAGGAACACGGGTCAGTGACCCGGGAACAGACTTGACTTCACTGTGCAGAAACACAATGCAACAAGATGGTCGAGCTCTCAGAAACCGCCATCATTCTTCTACAGGGGAATGACATTAGAAAGGGGAAGGGCAGCAGGATGAGTTGTGAGGCTTGGCAGTCTGAGCCAGTGAATCTACAGGCAACAGATTATCAACCACCACCTCCCTGGAGCACCTGCCCTGTAGAGCCCTGATAGATTTGTTCCGGCAAAACTCAAACACCTTGTCGGGTCAATACTGTTGTCAAGGCTTACTTTATTCTCCCCCCCTCGTTTCGTTAGTCCTCTGTGACTCAGTCGTCTGGTGTCTGGACATCCCGGACAACCGGACAACAGAGTGCGCCAGCCTCCAGCGACTGGAGCAGTCACGGAATTCCTAGCCCCTTCCCTTCCCCTCTACCAGTGGCCTTCCGGCTCCTGGGGCCGCTGTCAGCAGGGGATGCCCCAATATCACTTTACAGACTTGGGTTACGAGCGGCAATTGAATCAGTACTTCACAAAGCTGTTCCCTGCCCTGAAGAGCTCCCCGCTTTCCACAAGCCAGACAGTAACATTGGGAGGGATTTGAGGAGCAGAGGGCATTGGCGGATGGCATAGGGGGCAGTGGCTGAGGGAGCATTAAGGAGTGGGGCTGGGAAAGAGACCAGAGAATGGGGAGAATGAAGGCAGAGACCGGGTGATGCATGGCCCTGACAGGACACAAGGAGGGAGTCCATCACCGAGGTATCTGGGGCTCGTCACTTACGTTCCACATCAGCAGTAATACACATCTCGACTGAGGAGTCCTGTAGCACACTAAAGGTCTCTGCAGGAGCTCGCAGGACCTGCGTTTTTAGCGGGTAAACCCTACTCGCTGCTTAGGGGGCCAGCGTCTCAAGCGCTACAGACAAGAGCAACTCGGAGCTGCTCAGGATATTTTCAGCCGTCCCTGAATCTTGGCAACTGGTACTCCTGGGGGAATTCTGCACCCCTGTGGGGGCACCGAATTCAGACCTTCCGCAGATTTCTTGGCTCCCCCACAGAAAAATGAGGGAGCAAAGAAATCTGTGGGGAACACACAGCCCTTCCAGGGCAGCAGAGCAGATCACCCTGGGGGGAGGAGGGAGGCTGGGCGTGCGTGCGCTGTTAAGGGGGTGGGGTTGGGCGCGTGCCTGTACGAACCAGTGAGAGAGACTCACTTTGTCCCTCTCGCTCGCCGGTGCTGTGTCCTGGGCTGGGAGGCGTAGGGCTGGGTGAAGCAGGCTCTGTCCCTGAGGCAGAGCAGAAATGTAACAACTAAGCAGGCAGGCTGCTAATGTTCCCATCGTTAGTGAATTGTTCCTATTCCTAGTCAATTCAGGCTCCTTTCCCTTGCCAGCGTGGTGCAAAGGAGCCTTATTGTAAATGACGCTAAGGGAATTCTCAGCTAGGAAGAGCCATGTGCTTTCTCGGTTTTTTTCCCCTATGCCAGAGTGGCACAATGGGATTAGATTACAGCTCAGGATCTATTTCCCTTATCCATTAAAAAAAAAATGCAGGCCAATGATTAGCAAAACGTGTGAAAGTCTGAGCAATTTCCAGTGACAGTCTGCTTTACAGAACACCAAACAGCAAACTAAAAGTCATGTGATTGAAATGGAAATCCAGGATTAGAACTGGACTGCAGGGTCTTGGTTACCAAGTGTTTGTAACTTAACTTTCACGCATTCAGGAAATGCTGAACGGTTCTTGTGATTTTTTTTTCTGTACGGTCGTTTAAATAAATTACCAAAAGAAATGAAACCGGGGTGACTATATTGCATTATTTGGACAAATAAAATATGCAGAACTGTGGCTGTTTTGGTGCAGAATTCCCCCAGGAGTAAACTGGTCAGCTGTAGCCAGGGCCCCGAAAACAAACGGGAAAAGCCCCTACACTCATCTTCCCAGACGCCGGCAGGGCCTGATACTCACTGGTCAACGCTCTTGGCTATAGAGGCCATGATGAAGAGAACAGCTTCCGTCACCTCCCAGGGAGGGTTCCCGTCCTTCAAGGTAGCATAAAGCTGTGGGGAGAGAGAGAGTCAGTCACACAGGAGGATTAAGAAAGCCGGGGCAGCCACAGGGTAGCACTGCTCCTCGGGAAGTGGCAGAACGCACCTGTTTGCATCCTCCTAAACCACTTTCCCAGCGCTCTCTGGAGCCTGGTTCTGCACCAAGGCTGATCTATTTCTCACGGTCAGCGCCGCGGTCTGAGGAGGCCTGAAGCGTGCTGAGGTCTGTGACGAGACCCACTCAGCGATCTCACCCCGCCACCAAGAACCAGCTTTTATCACACAGCTGGGAGTGACTGCAGCGTCCTTGCTGTTGAACGCCCGGAGGGGCAGCGCAGCATTGCTTCAGCCAGCAGAGAGGAAAGGGGCCTGAGAGACGGCCTGTGGGGCCCAGCCAGACCATACAGTCGTGAACGTGACAGGATATGCAGAGATCCTTCATTTTGTCAAGGGGGGAGAGTACGTGCTCCACTGGGAGCTGGAGCGGGCTCTGAACTAACAGCGAGTGGTAGGGGACGTGGCAACCCAGGAGCTGACTCTGGCCAGCATGGTGGAGGTGAGCAGCCAACCCCGCCACCAGGAGAAGACATGGGATCTCAGGGTAACAATCCATTCATAGAATATGGACATTACATCATCCTGTGTGTGTGAAGCCGCGCTAAACACGCTGAAGGCAACGGAATCCCCTCCGAGGCAACTTATCTGGAGCCGCGGCGGCATCACTAGGGGCTCACCTGGGCAAAACATTCCACCGATCCAACCAGGAAGATCAAGTCCTTCACCAGGTCCGAGACCCTCATCCGGAACTCCCCGAAGTCGTCTGTCTCCTCCGGGACACCCTCCTAGCAGAGATTTAGGGTTGGAGGAATTGGGGTTACAGCAGCCAAAGGGGACTTCCAGATCCTAATTCACCCACAGAGCAAGGGAAGGGCCAGACAAGCTATTACATTAAGCCACCCTAAACCATGTGATCCTCTTCGACATCTCGGGCAAAGGGGATTTCAAGGGATGTAAAGCAGGAGCACCAACATTATGTCAAGCGATGCCCCGCTGCATCACCGGCCCACTCCACACATCCTGCATTAACAGGCCGGATCCTCTCCCCATCCTGAGTTCCGCAAATGGAGCTCTCAGACCAATGCAAAGTCTCCAGGAGGTGGGGGAATATAGCCGGGGATGGCACAAAGTATTCCAAGCCGCTCAGGGCTCCTTCAAGAAGGGAGACAGTGACCAGAGGGGAGGACGGTCAGGTGAACGTCCTCAGCCTGCAATTCCAAACACTGGACACAAGGATGGCAAAAGCAAAAACGAGACCTGCCAGCCACGCCCCCATCACACACTTGCCCACCCGAGATTCATTCAAGGGCAGCACAGCCGCCAGACCTCTCTGCTGGAACACAAGCTGGCTTGCTGAAGGGAGGGGATGTCAGATTAGGCTCTCTAAGTATATGGCAGTTTTCGTTACCGCCCAACGCCCTCATCTCCATCCCTAACCGCAGAGCCGTTAGTTACCTGCCTGGCTCCTTACTGACAATCAGCGCGTGGGGAAGGTGAACTGCATTTCACCAGCCGCCCCCATACCCACGGCAGCCTACTGGAACAGGGGAGGAAACAGAAGAGAGCTGAACGCAGCCTTACGTGGTCTGGGTCAAGCTGACAGTGTCTGGCCAGAGCATGCAGGAGCCTCTGGATGTAGGCTTTGAAGATGCTGTGTATGACTGCATCGTCCGTTTTGTACAGATGCTCCCCCAGTCTGTACCAGAAGTTAAAGGAAATTTCTACCACCTGTTGGGAGAGGAAAAACAGCCATTCGTCATTTTCACAAACAGGATTTTGCCCCCATCCTCCTAGTGTGGAAAGTCGGTCAGAAGGCTGCCTAGATCGCAGCAGAGAAGCTCCACGCTGACACCTGCAGCCTCAACAAAGCCATGAGCAGCTCCTTCGGCTTCACAAACCTGCATTTTTTGCTTGTTGTTTAAGCAGTTGATTTAAAAATCAAACCAGTCAGTGCCGGGGCAGGGTTTGGATGAGTGACCCTGCAGATAACAGTGAAGATGTCCCCACGCTGGGTGTACTCTGGCCTAGGGAGCCATCCCCGAGGAAAAGAGTAATTCAGCCTCCTGGCTTCAGACCTCTGCAGATACTGCTAGTGTGTCCTGCAGCACTGCATAGAGTTCACTAGGAGCTCAGTTGAAGTCATCAGCTCATTTCATGTAGGTCAAACATCTGTCAAACAGTAACTTCCATCCCCTCCTGGCTCAGGCACGATTCACACCAATAACCGTGGAAAGAGAATGTGACTTGCACCCCGAGGCCTGGTCCACACACAGAAGCTGCATCTAGTGAAAGCGCTGCACCCTGAGTGTGGACACAGTTGTATGAGTAGACGCATGCTTTATGTCGGTATAACCGTGTCCATACCAGGGGCGGCGTCAGTATAATTATCAGCCAAAAAAAGGCACCCTCCAACTGACAGTTATCCTGGTACCCAATCT